GAAACACGCCGCCCATCTCACCTCCATCTCTCCTTTCTTGTTTATCAACTTCTCCTTAAGCCCCCTCTGTGGGCACTTAAATAATCCCCATCAGACTAAGGTAGATTAAGTGCTAGTGTTTCTAGCCCCTGCATAACTGACTTCATATAGCAAAATGGAGAGTAGAACAAGGAAACACTACTACTTTCTGTCGTCAATAAAACTGGGCAGAAAAGTAGGTTTGTTGTTGTGGCCCCAGCCCTGCCTGTGATCGGTTGGAATAACGGCTGATCAGTGTAACCGTTTACTAGTTTATCATGTGGAATCTTGGGCATAATGCCCTCCAATGCTGAATGTGTATCTGGCATACAGGGAATAGAAGCAGTGGGGTTTATGTTTTCCTCGTAAGCAGAGTTCGGGTGTGGTGGTAATAAAAAGTTACTTTTGTCGGTAACGGAGTATGTCAACGCGTTACTTTTAAATAATTCAGTAAATCCACTAGCAGTCTCATTTCATTTCAAACCTTATTTAGACAGGATTGGTCCTTGAGATCATCGACTCTCAATTTACAAGGGGAGGGGGGGGCCCTTTGATCATTTAGTTCCACATGAAACATAAAAACCAACATACAAACAAACAACAGAGGATATCATATTTAGCATATTCAACATTTACAAATACCCAGAGTGTCAGAACAAGCCATTTTCCTTTAAGACGTGCCCTTAAATACCATTCAGAGAAAATAAAAATGCTCCAATTTCAATTTTGCCTGTATTATTCGAAAGAAAAAATTATGCCTACATGAAATTGCTCATGAAACACGTGGCAACCCACACCAAAACAAACTATATTGACAAACAGCACTACTGCTAAGACGAACGATGTGTATTATTGATGATGAGTAAACTGTCCCTTTTAACAGTAGACAACCCGTGCCATGACATTTGATGTGCTAGGAATCTCGAATGGTTATCAAAAGTCAACTTTATGGTCAATCATTCTGTTTGTGTGTACAGACAGAGAGATCGAAATACCGTTTCCCACAATCCCGAATACAAAATTTATATATAAATATATGTATAGAAAACATGTATATCCTATATACACAACCAACAGACACATTTATACATATGCGCACATTAAGACATAAATAAAAGCACAACAATCTGTTATATATATAATATATACTGTATATATAAAACAAAACATATTACTACTATATTTTGAGAGTAGTTCGATGAGTGCTATTCTACGGAAAGCCCTGCGTGTTAGAGATAACACTGGAAGGTTGATGTTTTTATGTCTGTAAAATTCCAGTTCCCCATGTTTGATAATGACTTTCCTTATGTCACTTTCACAGAGAGGAGATAGAGAAGCAGCAGGCGAAGGAGCGCTACATGAAGATGCACTTGGCGGGGAAGACGGATCAGGCCAAAGCCGACCTCGCTCGCCTCGCCATCATCAAGAAACAGAGAGAAGACGCGGCGAAAAAGAAAGAAGCAGAGAAGAAAGGTGAGCAAGACTTTGAATGGTAATTGTTTTAAATATGTTGTGCCCTGAGCCAGAAAAACTCTACTGTATTTATAATGTGGCAAAGACAACTCACTGTCATTATGAAAAAACGCTGAAATTCTTCACAACATAGATATCACGTTTTCTCGTCTCTAGAATGAGACTCAGAGCATCAAGAGGAATCAAAATGATATTGAACATTGATTTATTTATAATTTGTGTGCCTGCAAAAGTTAGACTTGCATTATGTAAAGGTTGATGAAAGAAATTCCATGAAAATACCAAGAAAAGAGCAAAAGTGTAACCTTTTTATTTGTCTAACTAAGTAGGGAAACAAGTTATTGAATATGAACAATTAAATAGCTGTCTGATCTCATATTTTTTATTATCATAATCATGACACAAGTTTTATAACCTAGCTTGTTATAGGGTTAGGGACACAACCCAGATGTTCTAAAATAAAGGTATGTATTGACAGTACTACATTTAAATGCATACAAACTGAGGAGGGTCTCATTTGTGCTCAAAACGGGAAACAAACAGCAAACAAAATCTCCACTGACTCCATTTACTGTAAATCATTGATAATACAGCCAAACAGCACCAAAGAAAGTACTTCAAATACAAGAACAAAATGCAGTTTTCTCCATGTCTTCTAAATGATGCTATAGCTGATTTTATTCATGCATCACGTGGAGCTGATTGTGTCTCTGTTATTTTCTGCTTGCAGCAAAAGAGACAGCAGCAGCAGCGGCGAAAGGAATGAACTCCCTCTCAATGAAATGATGGACAGTTTTGATCAGAGGCACTTTTACATGTTCACGGACTGGCGCAAAATATATTTGACTATTTTTAAAGGACGGATGATGTCCACGTTACTGGTTCGTGTGACCATTTGGAAGATGGTTGCTGAGACCCCAGTGGAGAGGGGTTGTGTATATTTTGGCCTTGTTCATCCCTCCAGGAAGTTACCGATGAATAAATCTGTCTTCACGTGCACTTTAGAATGAACCCCTCCTAATGATCTTGTATATGATATTATTAACGATATATTTTGTCGTTGTACAAGTTCGACTTTGCTAACTCAGCTTTGGCACTATGTTTTTCCGGAGCTCACATTGTACATAACTGATTCATGGAAATATTTCAGATTATTATGATGAAAACAGTAAAATGTGTACAGTACATTTTTTGTTTGCATTATTTCCCTGTGAGAAAACTGTCATGACCAGCATCGAGCGCAAGAGTCCATGTTGGGTCAACTGTTATGAAAATGAGATAAATCAAGATAGGACTTTGCACAGCAGTAACAATCAGTAACGACGAATGATGTGGGTTTATCTTGCCCTGACATCAGTAGTAGATATAGTGTAGAAAAAAAACATTTTAGAACTACTGAACAACTTATGAAGGGCAATAAAGGGTGGGATTTAGTCTACGGTCCAGAATAATATATATGATATGTTTTGATTATAAATATTGATCATTAAAGTGTTATCAAAGCTGGTAAAGGTGCAGCTAGTTTTGATGACTTTTTAAACTGCAGGGTAGCTTGTGGATTTACTCCAGGTGTAAATACAATCTAATTTAATAGTTGATTATATATTTCACATAATTAATCCAAATCTACTAAGGTAATAAATACATTTAGTGGAGTAAAAGTACATGATTAACCTCTGAATTGTATTGGATTAGGAGTACAAAGTGGTCTAAAATGGAAATACTCAAATAAATTGTACAGTACTTGAGTAAATGTACTTAGTAACTTCCCACCTGTGACAGAAATACACAACTACATGATTATAAAACATAAAGTGTCCACACAGTGAGCAGAAGGTGGCAGTAATGCAGCCAACATGGCGGATAATATTGAGAAAGAAGAAGAGCCAGGGAGCGGATTGGTCAAAAGTTTGGCGGACTTTATCCTCCGCAGCGAGGGTCTTTTTGTTCAGCCCCGTGCACACATTTCAGTCCTAAAGTGACAGCTGCAGCCTACACTATACTGGTGAGTGAAATAATAACTAGTTAATGTACACAGGGACATGTTAAAAAATATGAAACTGTTTGGGTTAACAGGTAGAAAATAACATTTTAATGTGTTATCTGGCACAGTTTGTTGTTATTATAGGAGTAATTGGTATCACTCCGCGGCGTGGTTATGTCCGCACTGCTGTTATATATTTAGCCGTTTTAACGGTTGTAACTCGTGCTAACTTAAACACCTCTTCACTTCATGCTTAACTTTATACTACTGGCAGTGACTGTTATCCACCTCACATAAACATTATGCAACATCATAATTCACATCATGCGAACAATATCTTTTTAATATTGTAAATCCTGTACTACATGTTGCACATTTCTGCTCCACGCGACCTCTTGTTAAACCTGCACAGCTCTACTTGAATATAGTACTGTCATATTTTATTATATTTTACTGTAGCCTACACAGTTTCTCACATAATTGTTGTGTAAATATTGTATTTATTTTTTACAATAGTATTAAAATGAGTAACTTTAACTGTTTCTGTGGGGATAATTTAACGCTAAAAGCACATTTTAACAGCTCATCTTCCTCTATAAATATAGTCTCTACATGACGTAACACAGTTGTTTCTGTTATTGCTGCAAACTTTGTGCGTCAGTTAGAGACAATAGTGTAAAGTAACTAAGTACATTTATTCAAGTACTTAAGTACAATTTTGAGGTGACTTTAAAAATATATACTTTTATACCTCCAAAACTACTTTTTCCAATAAATGCAGCAGTGCATGCACAATGTGTCTGCTGTTTTCTTGGTGGCAGGATGGTCTTATTGGGCATCTACTGTATGGGTAGATCAGATAGAGTGGATAATAAAGGTAACGGGAGTCATGTGCTAACTGTTGAGCAATATGACTGACCTCAGCCTCAGATAAACATTTGGCAACTGTACACAAAACTTCACAGTAGACGTGTTATCTGAGTTGCCTAACAACCTTTGTTTTGGCAGTTTCTGCAGTTCATTTGCTTTTCTTTTTGTGTAATGGATCAAAGTGTAACTGGTGAGGCCATATCACTGCTGCGTGAGTCCTCCTTTGCCTGAGGATAATGGGTCTGTTTGTACATGTATATTGTATTTCCACAATATTTTCTTGATTCAGCATTTCAATGAAAAGAGTATTTTTATGTCTACACATTCCTCTGTTTAACACATTTCTGTTCAATGCTCTCCACTTTAAATTCTTATACTGCACATGTTTTGGGGCTTTTTTGAGTAATTTCTTATATTTTTACTCAGTTTTTTGTATATATAATTAGTTTTATGTATATATAATTCTTGTAAACATTTATCTTCAATTCCTCTGACTGTGTATACTGTATGTATGGCCCATTTTACTCCAAAGCCAGTTCCTTGTAGTTGTAAACCTACTTGGCAATAAACCTGATGATTGATATTTGATCTCTAAACAAAGCATTGTCTTCCTCTTCAGATTTCCTCTCCGAGTGGCCAGTGAAACAGAGAAACCATGTCTTTGACTAATGGCCACAGTGTGAGCAAAGAAACATGGGATTCACACAACCAGATGATGCTGGATCCTCTGTCCGTCAGCGACTCTGAGGTTTGTTGTGTGGCGCAGTGGATAGAGCCTTGTATGGGGGTCACAGGTTCAAACCCCACTGCAGTCAGCATGTCGTTGTGTCCCTGAGACACTTCACCCCATTGCTCCTGTGGGGATTGCCCACAGTATTGAGTATGTAAGTCGCTTTGGATAAAAGCGTCTAACAAGTAACATGTAATGTAATGTAATGTAATGGATTTCAAGATAACATTTTATGAAGAGGTTAGCAGTAATAATTTCCTTTTTAAAAAACCTTGACGTTTTTTTGGAGGCGTTTGGATGTAAACATTGCAACATTTCTGAACCTGAACTGACAAGAATGATCATTATTTTCACATTTAATAATTTTTTGTTTGATGAGTTGTTATCGTTCCATAAACAAACAGTATTTGTGTATATTTTTGGTTTAGGTGTTCTCCATCATAAAAAAAGAGAAGCACAGGCAGACGTACGGGCTGGAGCTCATAGCGTCCGAAAACTTCACCAGCAGAGCCGTTTTAGAGGCTCTGGGTTCCTGCATGAACAACAAATACTCTGAGGGATATCCCGGTCAGAGGTACAACAATTGACAAACTATTTATGAAATCTCAATGTGATTACAGCCTTCAAGATGTGCATTTAGCTTTCTTCTTCTTCTTCTTCTTGTTTAATATCAAACTAGCAATAGTAGTAACAATCGTTATGATGTGTTCAGGTACTACGGTGGTACGGAGCATGTTGATGAGCTGGAGAGACTCTGTCAGAAGAGATCGCTGGAGACGTATGGTCTGGACTCAGAGAAATGGGGCGTCAACGTGCAGCCTTACTCGGGTACCAAATAGTTAATTATATATAACACCATACAAAATGTAAGGTCACCAATTATGCAAAATCCACTTGTTCATGTCTTTCTACAGGAACATGTGTCCTCTCTGTGGAAAGAGATTCTGAAAGTTTCATGAAAAAAGATTCTCTCACTTTTTGTCCCGTCTGAAAATGAGCTGTTCAGATTTTGGCCACTTTATGATGTCATAACGATGTTTTGGCTTGTGTAACCATTAGCCAATCAGCAACCAAGGTAGCTCCTAGAGCACCATTGAGTTCTTTGTAACCACATCTCTCTCAGGGGGGCGTGGGGAGGGGCTCCTTATTTTCATCTAATGTCTCTCAGATGGGCGTGGGGACGGGGCTCCTTTATTTTCATCTAAAGTAACAGACAGAGAATCAGCACTTTGGAAACAGGGCTGAAACAGAGGGGATTATGGGTAATGCTGCAATAATCTGTTTTGGTGTTTTGGAGCCAAACACTTCAGAGAACATGTTTCGTATCTGAGACCTATAATATATTGATGAAAACAGTATAATAGGGGACCTTTAAATCTTTCAACTGTTCTCCTCTTTACTTCTTGCTTTTTCTAGTTGTCATACTTTGTCTTTGCTTCCCCTGTCAGGTTCACCCGCTAACTTTGCCGTCTACACGGCCGTTGTGGAGCCTCACGGCAGGATCAATGTGGGCTGGTACCTTCCCGATGGAGGTCACCTGACACACGGCTTCATGGACTGAGAAAAGAAAATATCTGCAACGTCCATCTTCTTTGAGTCCATGCCGTAACAAGGTACAATCGCATGTTTTTAAATTTCACAGCCATACAGGAATCCTACAGGTGTGGTGTATAAAGATGTGAACATTGGTCATGGTATCTATTACGGTACGTCCACACAGCA